GGGGGGGGGGCAGTTGCCTCAGAGCCAGTTGATTTAAAAGGGCCAGGGGCTCCCAGCCCCCCCTGCCACTAGAGTTGAAATGGCATCAGCCAGAGCTCTGGGCCTTTTATACTGTTGTCGGAGCACCGGATGGGACAGACGGGGCAGTGCTGAAAAGCTAGCTGGTGGAGTAAGACCCAGCTGTCCTAAAGCTTCATTCCTAAGCCACACATACGGACACCTTGCCCAGGGCCCAGCAAAGTCTGTCAGCCACCCTGTGTTGAACTGATAGACATAAAGATTAGAAAAACTAAATTTCTGTGAACAAAACTCAAATCTCTCTCTAATTGGTTGTAGTGTAGTTGCTTAATACTAGAATGGATTTTTAAAATGTTCTTTTCTATATATTTACATTTTCACTCTGTGTGTCAAAACTGCTAATGGTAAGAACATACATTTCCTTGTATTAGTTATGTGTTCTGCCAGAATTTCTGACCATCTCTAACTTTAGGCCAGTACTACACTAGGGGAGAAAAAATAAAACTAAGATATGCAACTGCAGCTATGAGAATGGCATAGCTGGAGTCGACATACTTCAGTCTGAATTTCTGCTGTGTCCCCACAGTGGGAGATGATGGGAAAGTTTCTCCCGTTGACTTCTCTTATTCCTCGTGGAGTACCAGAGTCACTGGGGCCGTGATTACAAAGTATGTTTCCTCTTCTAAAACCACAGAAGTGCTTTTATAGGTACCTAAGAATCTGAAATTCCTATGTTCTTTATTTAAACATTGATTTGTTGACTCTAACCTTATCTCAAATATCATTTCATTATTCGCCATGCATTTTGGTTTCCTTGTATGCTAAACTGTGCAGGTCTATTCCTGTGACGTAAGTGGGACATGTCAACAGCCTTAGAGATTCACTGGCTTACATGTACAAGTAGTTTGCAAATATATAATCAATCACATTTCAAAATTTCTGTGCATACCTCTATTTTCTCCATCTCTGCTGGATTTTTGTTACCTATCCTCCCCACTGATACAGTAAACTACTTATTGCCAAGATGTGTGTGTGTGTGTGTGTGTGTGTGTGTGTGTGTGTGTGTGTGTGTGTGTGTGTCTGTCTGTCTAGAAGCATGCAGCCTGTGTGTCTTTATGAAACTATTCAGTAAAAGTAAATTTCAGACTCAGATTGGAAAGCAAGAACAGTCCTGTATTGACCACATGGATGGATATTGAGACTAATAGGTCTCCTTCATTTCTGATTTTTGACATTCCTTTTAAACTCTGATATAATTTTTATTAATTCCTCGCCCTGCACATCTACAGTTCAGCAATGCAGAAAAAATAATGCAAGTTCGTTCGTTTCTTAAGATTGGCTTCCTTCCACTATTGGCACTGGCTCTCCCCTGTTGAATCAATTTTTTTCATGCTCTTTTCTATTCTTTTTCTCCATATTCCCTTGGTTCCTCTGACAAATATGTTGGGACATGGAGAACTACAATTAGGCAAGAAATCTTTCACACTGAGCTGACCTTGGATGCTTCAACAACTTTTCTCCCAGACTCTTAGAAAAATTCCATTGGGTCATCAGTGATAGAGGGTTTAGTTGTGGTTTGTTAATTGAAGAGCTAATGTAGCACTGTGAATGAACCAATGGAGCTGGAACATAGACAACATGTATTTGGGTGATAATTACTACTTCAAACCAGCAGGTAGAGCAGCATCATTAGTTCCAGCACCTATTCAATTATATTTGTTCAGATTTAATATTAGAGCTAGATGAATATTAAGATACTACTACACCAGCACTAATTCTAACAGATGCTTTAGCTTTCCTCTTCCCTTTCCTCAGCTGCTAGATCTGTCAAGATAAAATTAACAGAGACCTGCCAATCTCTCCAGCCTTCCAGAGACAGCTCAACAGGGAACTCTCACCTCAGTGGCAGTCTCTGAGCTACAGAAAAAAAAAATCCAGAAGGCCTTGTCCTCGCCTGTTAAGACTCTGTGCAAGCTGTAGACTTACACTTTCAGCATCTCCAGTGATAAAATAACCAAAGAATTTTCTCTAGCTTAACTAAAGCTCTTAACTGAAGGAAGTTATCAGACCCACCACATTAAAACACACACATAGACACACCCATGTATAAACACCCACTTGTCTCCATGAGGAAAAAAATTAATTTAAAATAGAACCTGTCAAGTTAGTTCAATTAGGCTCCAATTCAGGAAAGCATTTGTATTCAGGACAGCATTTAAGTATGGGCTAAATTATGTGCTTTATTACTTTCCTGAATCAAGCCCAAGGCCTGTTCTGCAAACATTTATGCACAGTGGGACTACTCATTGTAGTAAACTTGATTGTATGCATGAGTGTTTGCAAGTAGATATGAGATGTTTGTAAAATCAGGGCCTTGATTTGTCTTAGGTAGAGGAACTATAATCTTATCAATTAAGTTTTCCAGTCTTCCTCTTTTCTTAATCTATTGCCATTGTTTTGAATCAAGATTTGAATGATAACAACAAAGAAAATCACCTTCAAACAGTGCCTTTATTACCTATTGAGTAATACATGTTTTAAGTGTTGTGATACATGATTTCTACTTTCTGTGGACCAAGAAAAAAATTTCCTCTATTCCATCAAACCTGCTGCTAAATCTCTCCAGCATTACTTACTAAATAATTATTCCAAATGAATCCCCACAGTCCCTAGTGTATTAAAGCATAGTAAGGTTAAGATAAACGGTATAGATTCAGGAGGTTTTGTTTTGGGGCATGTTCTATGGGGCATCTCAATTTCTGAGTTGTGTTGTGGTTTAGTGAGGTTGTTTTTTGTTTGTTGTTTTTCTTACCTTCTCCCAAAATAGAATCAAACTGTGACATAGTCACGTCCTGATTCAGTGTCCTACATTGCATCATAAGATGATGCAATAGTTTGTTGTCCTGACAAGTTTGTCCCATAAGACAAACACAGGAAGCGGACACTCTGTTTTGATAAATCTGTATGAAAGATTTGGGGATATAATTTGCAGATCTTTAAAAAAAACACTTTATAACAGAGGAAGAAATGTTAAAGGGACACTGGGTTAAAAAGCAATTCATACCTGTGCTATCTGTGCTATCCATGTTAACTTTTGAACAATATATATATATATTTTAAATGTAAAATCTCTTTACCAGCACAATGCTACAACATTTGGACTGGCAGGAAACAATTTAAAAAAAGGAATCTTAAAATTTAATGAAAAGATTTTATACTGGTTTTAAGTTTTATAAAAGCTTGATTTTACAAAACATAAATTTTGGGCTAAATTTGACTTTATATTACCTCTTCAAAATGTTGACAATTAAGTTAAGGTTTCTTTCAAAGACCTTCCCTATGCAAAACATTTTTTTAAAAAAAAATCATGTCACACAGTCTTGAACCCATTTAGAAAACAGATGATCAAATTATATACTTGTAAATGTTGGTCTTCATTCTCGGTTTGAGTGGAAACGTTCTTTGTTTTGCCTACTTCAGAACTTCTAGGTTCTCTTTCTACTAGCAAAGGAGGTTCTT